TTTTTCTGGACGATTTTTGACCCATCTGTGGCCTGCATTAGCCTCCATTCACACTCAAAGCTCCAAAAATGCTCAAACTTAAAAAATCAATTGCTCTCTATAGTGCCTGTTCGCGCAATCATGTGTGAACAGGCACCATAGAGAACAATTGATTTTTGTAGGTTTGAGCTTTTTTGGAGCTTAGAGCTTCAATCTAAAAAACTCTCAAGCATGAATGCAGCCTAAGTGAGTTTAATTACCACCTTAATCAGCCATAGAACCTGTGTAATTAATATAAGGGATGAGGTGGCAGCCCTATGTCCAACACATGATTATGGACAACAAGACAATTATCATTCCTTTCTATGGAGGCCTTACCCACCTGTGTGCTGCCATGCATTGGAAAAATAGTACAGGTGCATTTTTTGGTGCATCAAGTTGTGTTTTTGGCCCCATAGACCATTCCTCCCAACTTTTCCTGATTTCGAGGGACTGTCCCTGATTTGGAACAAAGTCCCTCTTTCCTCCTCATTTGTCCCTCATTTTGGTCTGATCTATATAGTTGTATATAAAATGCACTATTTGTTTTTTAAAAAAGTGTTTCCCAGTGCTAAACCTTTCATCCAATTGCTCTATTGTTGCATTTGTAAACTCCATAAACCAGTACAAAGGAATAGTAGTTGTTAAAAAAAAGCACTTGAAGGTTAAACCTTTTTTTTGTCTAATGGTTCTTTACATTCCTGTCACACCGATCCTGACTTTGAAATCGTGCAACTTACAGTGAAGTCGCACGATTTCAAAGTCGGATGATATGCCGATTTGAGGTGCGATTTGAAAGAAATCTGACACAGATATCTACGTAAATCACACCAAAAGTAGTGCATGTGCTACTTTGGAAATTGTTGTGGCTCCGACCAAGTCTGGACCGCACTGATATGACCGCTGTATACAGGGTGCGACTTGCCATGTGATTTGCAAGTCATATGGCATGCAAATCGCATGCCAAGTTGCACCCAGTGTAACCAGGGACTTAAGGGGGACATGGCAGGGGGATGTGTCCTATGACTACAAAAGTTGGGAGGTGTGCCATAGAAGTCAGTGGCAGTGCGTGTTAGTACATAACAAGCCCCCATCACATAGCAACCTCTGCTTTGATTTCATTGGCCAATAGAATAAAAAAAATGCATGCAAACAGACAAGTCAATGCATTGAAACGCACATAAAAATGTGCTAAAAATCCCAGGAAAAAGCAGACGCAAAAGTGTGAACCTAGCCAGTCTAAGTTGAGTATTGACATCCCATTTCGGGATAAAATCCTCCAAGGACTGAGCAACTAAGGTATAGCTCATAAAATGTGCTCTTTTCTGTGAATTGTCCTTTTCGTAAAGGCATTAAAGTTATTTACAAAATATATATTTTTTGTGTATTTTTTCACAAACTTGTAAAAAAAATAACAAAAAGTGAAAAGGTACATGTAAATGTGCACAAACAAAAAAGAAAAACTACATGCAAATGTAAACAAAAACAACAAAAAAAGCTAAGGGTAGGAACACATCATTACAAACTAATTGGGCCTCATGCACACTGGATGTTTGGCCATCTCTGTTAGACGCCTTTCCTCCTGGCAGCAGCATTTTGGCAGAAAAAAAACGCATGACACTTGTAAGCGTTACACATTTAGGTACGTTTAGGAGCATCAGGCACTTAATTTCATTAGTCAGAATAATAATTTATTCTGGCCATTGAATTAATGCTCAAGGGCTAAACATGCCTAGTATTAATGCACGTTTAGATGCATTTAGATGTGTTTAAATGTGTTTAGTGCATCAAGCATTTTTCTGACAAAACACTGCTGCTCTTGGTTTTGCTGGCAGTGATGTTTTTTTTCTGCTTCAAAACTCCTATACAAGGACACATAGGCTAACATGCAGGGGTGTTTAGAGGCAAAAAACCCCCAAAACACCAGACGCTCCTAAAAACAGCGTTAAAGATGTCCAGTGTGCACGAGGCCTAATCCGGAAGAATTTTCTTTTGAAAATCTTTTCTAAGAATTTTTGTTCGAATTTCGCACCATAAGGGCCACAGCAATTTGAGTGGTTGGGCATATTGGAAATTTTTTGAAAAATGAACAGGTTTTTAACCAATGATAGGAGAATCATGTGAGAAATGTAATAAAAAAAGAAATGATTGGTCAAATTTCGAAATCAGTGGTGGCACCATTGGATTACAAAATGCACAAAATTTCCGATTTTCTAAAGAAAATTTGTTGATTATTCGACCCATGTATGGCCTGCATAAGGGTTAAATTGGAACAAAGTTTATCAAAAAATTGATATGATTAGGAGGAACAGCCACATGTAGCTCCCAATTTGTTATATTCTGTCACAGATGTGTGATTGTTAAGCCCACCCAGGGGCGGACTGACCATTCGAGCACTCGGGCAGGACCTGGGGTCAGTAGGGGGGCCCCATGAAATGCCCCTGGTACCTTTTATAGGCTTTTTTTAGTATGGGCAAGGACATAGGGGCCCCATGATTCCCTATTTCCCTGAGGCCCATGAGTTGTCAGTCCGCCCCTGAGCCCACCATACACATTACAACAAAATATGACTGTTTAATATCCTTTAGATCCATCAACTATGCAGCGCAAGAGCCTGCTTGATTGAGGTGGACTGATACAGGGGGAATGCATAGTTTAGGTAGGCCCTTTCATTCCATAGTTTTGGTAAATTTAAACTAGATTGTACAAAAAGTGTTCAGGCTGTAAAGTGTATAGTGAACTCTAGAGATAAAGCGATGATCCCTGATTCAGAATTTTTTTTCCCCCAACAGGAACAGTTTTTATTTTGTGAAATTGCACTGGGGGATGTTTTGTAATGAGTTTAATTCTAATTAGTGCTTGCAATCTTTTTTTTTTTTTTAAGAAGAGTAGTTTTTAAAATCATAAATGTTCCTTATGGCTAGGTTCACATCTATGCAGGCTGCTGTTGATGCATTTTTCTGGTGGTTTTGCATTTCTGAACACGTTTTTGATGAATTTTTGACAGTTTTTTATGGGTTTTGCTTTTTTTTTTTTGGCTAATAGGAAAGTATGAGTTTTGTTCATGTAGTGTGACTTTGATGTGAATTCACACTCTCTGACACTCAGGTAGCATCAAAGTCCCATCAAAGTAGTGCAGGAACCTCTATGTATCCAAAGTCGCATGCTAGGGTTAGGGTTAAGGGCTAAGGTTAGGGATAAGTGCTAGGGTTAGTGTAAATGTTAGGGTTAAAAGTTAGGGTTAGGGATAAGTGCTAGGGTTAGTGTAAATGTTAGGGTTAAAAGTTAGGGTTAGGGATAAGTGCTAGGGTTAGTGTAAATGTTAGGGTTAAAAGTTAGGGTTAGGGATAAGTGCTAGGGTTAGTGTAAATGTTAGGGTTAATGGTTAGGGTTAGGGATACGTGCTAGGGTTAGTGTAAATGTTAGGGTTAATGGTTAGGGTTAGGGATAAGTGCTAGGGCTAGTGTAAATGTTAGGGTTAATGGTTAGGGATAAGTGCTAGGGTTAGTGTAAATGTTAGGGTTAATGGTTAGGGTTAGGGATAAGTGCTAGGGTTAGTGTAATGTTAGGGTTAATGGTTAGGGATAAGTGCTAGGGTTAGTGTAAATGTTAGGGTTAATGGTTAGGGTTAGGGATACGTGCTAGGGTTAGTGTAAATGTTAGAGTTAGGGATAAGGGCTAGTGTTAAATGTTAGGATTAAAGTTAAGGACTAGGGTTAGGGTTAACGGTACGGGTTAAATGTTAGGGTCAGTGTTAAATATTAGGGTTAGGGTTAAGGACTAGGGTTAGTGTAAATATTAGGTTTAATGGTTAGGGATAAGGGCTAGTGTTAAATGTTAGGACTAAGGTTAAGGGTTAGGGTAAGGGTTAAATGTTAGGGTTAGTGTTTAATATTTAGGGTTAAGGTTAAATGTTAGGGTTCAATGTTAGGGTTAAGGGTCACTACTTTGATGTGACTTTAATGCTACTTGAGTGCCAGAGAGTGTAAAATCAAAAATTGCACTACATGAACAGAACTGTCATATTTTCCTATTAGCAAAAAAAAAAAAAAAGCACAAAATGCATAAAAAATGCAACACTTGCATTTTTTGGTGCGGGTCCATTGAAATCTATTACAAGCAAAACGCTATCTGCTGCTGCAAAAGGGTAAATGACCCTTTCCAAAAAATGTACCAGCTCAAAACACACATATGTGAACTGGATCCATAGGAAACCATATTAAAAGGAATGTAGTCCATTTCTCTAAACTGTAAACCGCTCTGAAATCCGCATGAGTCTGAACCTAGGGTAAGTTCAGCTCCAGTTTATGAGGACCTTTGTAACACATAAGTAACTTGCGGCAATGGACAGGTTATAATATGTAATTTGTAGCAATGCTGAAGCATGTGACTTTGTGGATTGTAAGTCATTAATTACCCAGCTATAAGATTCCTGTTGAAGAGCACTGACACCCACAACAGAGCTGTTACTTGTCATACACACATCAGAAGACAATTAGCTGCAAACATGCCTGGTATCTCCACTCACTATCTGTAAGATAGTGAAGTGAGTGATGTTGACTAATAACACATGCTATTAACGTAATAACTATCAATTGTATTTTCCACAAAATCTTTCATCCAATATCTGGTCTTTTGTAAAACAGGAAGTATGTTTTGATGTGTAAATCAAATGTGTCAATCATATAAATAATTTGGCTTCTGCATTATTGTGTGTTGCAGTAGGGCAGCCCATCAATTTGATGCACCTAAATCGCACCAAAGACGTGCGCAACCCCTTTTCTTTTTAATTGCATCGCACTGCAACACACTACAATGGTAACAAATTACCATGCTTTATGGGCACATGTGCAATGGCTAGGTGCATTGGGGTGGCAGTACAGTGTAGTACGCTGTGTGTGTGCAAAGGTGGAACACACGCATTCCCACACTGTAGAGATACAAATGTCCATGCAAAATATAACAGCATGTAGTGCAATAACTTTTAAAGAGGCACACTGCAGTCAAGACTGATAATAATAATAATAATAATATTAATATATATATCCATATATACACTATATTGCCAAAAGTATTGGGCCAGCCCTCCAAATCCTTGGATTCAGGTGTTCCAATCACATCCAAGGCCACATGTGTATAAAATCAAGCACCTAGGCATGCAGACTGCTTCTACAAACATTTGTGAAAGAATGGGTCACTCTCAGGAACTCAGTGAATTCAAGCGTGGTACCGTGATAGGTTGTCACCTGTGCAATAAGTCCATTTGTGAAATTTCCTTGCTACTAAATATTCCACAGTCAACTGTTAGTGGTATTATAACAAAGTGGAAGTAACTGGGAACAACAGCAACTCAGTCACGAAGTGGTAGGCCACGTAAAATGACAGAGCGGGGTCAGCACAGAAGTCACTAACTGTCTATAGAGTCAATAGCTAAAGACCTCCATACTTCGTGTGGCCTTCAGATTAGCACAACAACAGTGTGTAGAGAGCTTCATGGAATGGGTTTTTTATGGCCGAGCAGCTGCATCCAAGCCTTTCATCCTCAAGTGCAATGCAAAGCGTCGGATACAGTGGTGTAAAGCATGCCACCACTGGACTCTAGAGCAGAGGAGACGTGTTATCTGGAGTGAAGAATCACGCTTCTCTGTCTGACAATCCAATGGATGTGTCTGGGTTTGGCGGTTGGCAGGAGAATGGTACCTGCATGACTGCATTGTGCCAAGTGTAAAGTTTGGTGGAGGGGGGATTATGGTGTGGGGTTGTTTTTCAGGGGTTGTTCTTGGCATCTTAGTTCCAGTGAAGGAAACTCTTAAAGCGTCAGCATACCAATACATTTTTGAACAATTTCATGCTCCCAACTTTGTGTGAACAATTTGGGGATGGCCCCTTCCTGTTCCAACATGACTGCTCACCAGTGCTCAAAGCAAGGTCCATAAAGACATGGATGAGTGAGTTTGGGGTGGAGGAACTTGACTGAACTGTCCTGACCTCAACCCGATAGAACACCTTTGGGATGAATTAGAGAGGAGAGTGCGAGCCAGGCCTTCTCGTCCGACAGTAGTGCCTGACCTCACAAATGCGCTTTTGGAAGAATGGTCAAACATTCCCATAGACACACTCCTAAACCTTGTGGATGGCCTTCCCAGAAGAGTTGAAGCTGTTTTAGCTGCAAAGGGGCAGGGCAACCCAATATTGAACCCTACGGATTAAGACTGGGTTGCCATTAAAGTTCATGTGCGTGTAAAGATAGGCGTCCCAATACTTTGGGCAATATAGTGTATCTTCTAGTGGGGACACTTGCTGCAGTGATAACTGCCTGAGCGTGGACAACCCTCACTTTGTAGATATTTTTCTCTCCTTCCTGTTGTGTTTAAAGGAGAGGAAGTAAAGGGAAGTCTCCCCAGGGACACAGATGGCAAAAAAAAAACCCCAAAAACAGGGAATTTATTTATCTACAGTCAAAAATATGGCCTTAGGCCTTACTGATGCCTTCAAGGGATCAGGAAGGATTTCTTTTTGTATTTGTTTTCCTTGCTGGAGCAATTTGGACCATGCTTCATAGGGGTGTTCTTTGGCCTTCCTCTAGATCAACTGTGGGTATAAGGTTCTGTGTGTGGAGGTTTTACATTTATTTATTTTTTTCTATTGGTTGAACTATGTTGAATTGTGTTTTTTTATAAATCCTAACTAGGTAACTATGATTTATAATGAACACATATCTATATATGTACATTTTGTAATTGATATTAAATATAAATATTAAATTGCACGTGATGTTGCCAAGTATTTTACGTGATTACTAGGCTGTATTTTTTAATTACCTAGAGGTGATAATGGGCGCTCAGACAGTAGGAGGAATGGTTACTGCACAGAGAGATGTTCCAATTTATTGTAAAATCTTCTTGCAAGCAGGCCCATTCCTCTCATATCAAAGTATAACAGTCAGGCACTCAGGATCAAGGGTTCCGCCTAGGATCATGGAGGGTCCCATTGACACTGGAGCAGCTTGTGCGTGGATGGACAAATATATCCATGCCTGTCATTGTTGGGAGATATCTGCTTGCCTATGGCCAGCCAAACACTGACTATTGATTTTCGTTGCTATATAATACTGATATATTCTGATTCTGATATAAATACCGAAGATACTGCATGAATTTCTTTGGTATCAGTCATACACTAGACAAGTGACTCAGCAACATTTGCAGTACTTAGTAGTAAAGCCACTTTCAGGATCTGAGATTCATTATTGTTTGGTTCTGTAACTGATCTCATAAAAGATGAAGAATATTGCTGCATTTAGTGAAATCATGAATACCTCCTGGGATTGAAATCCATTGACAAATATAGCAGATTGATTTATTGTCCATTCACAATATATTGTTTGCTGTACCCGTATAAGACCTAATCTGATTACTCGCTCCGGTGGGAACTTCGGCTCCTCCTCTCCAAGCTAGATTGCAAATATCCCCCCCCCCTGCTGAGCCTTCCTGATGCCAATTTTCGCCTGAGACATTGTTTTCAAAAAAAAAAAAATTTAGGCGACCTCCCCGATGGGATGACTATGGATTGAACATCTACAGTCATGGCAAAAAATATTGGCACCCCCTGCATTTTTAGGCATTCTCATGTTTATTGCTTTTGTTTGTATTGGTATGACACAAAAAGTGGACAAAAAAAAGCCAAGTCTGACACATTACACGCAAAACCCCCCCCAAAAATGGAAGATTTCCCATCACCTTTTCTTCTGTTCACAACCATAAAATTTTACGTCACATAAAATGTGACGTCACATGCCTGATGAAGGGGTCCTGCGAGACTCTGAAACGTTGCCTTGCTGTAACTATGTGATGGTTTATTAAAACCTTTGGACCCATATTGGTGATCCTCGGTGTGCTGGTGACATTTTTATCCCTCAGTCCAGTCCTAACTCCTTGAATGTGTCAGAAGCATTCCTGGTGGTATACATACCACTGATGGAGAAACTGTTTAGCATAATATGGTTAAGCTGCCAATATTCCAATTTGAGCTGTGGGTGGCCTTGCTGGAAATTTGTTGGCCAAGCAGTAACTGCATCTAATGTCCAGCTTTATGCTGGCCTTGGATGGACCCAAATATGGCCGGTTCTGCAAGTACCGACCTAATTTTGATCCATGTGTGGTTGTCGCAGCTTGAAAGAAGTCAACTGAAGGGATCGACTTTTGTTGAAAAGAATGTTGGAAAACTTTTGTGGATCAGTGGCTGCAGCCACTGATTAGTGTATTCGGACAGTGGAGGATTCCTGCTGTCAGAATACATTGTCCCAGCTTGGGAATTCTTTCATCCACTTCGCATGTATGGATGGAGGAATCCATTCATGGGCTGAATGAGAAAAAAAAAGAAATTAATTATCTAGGACCAGCTTTAGACTAAGTACTACAACATCTTACATCATTATAATTATTATTATTATTATTATTATAATACAGGATTTATATAGCGCCAACAGTTTGCTCAGCGCTTTACAATATAACAAGAGACAATACAGTAACAATACAGTTCAATACAAGAGGGATTTGAGGGCCCCTGCTCCTTGGAGCTTACAATCTAGGAGAGAGGGGCTAGTGGTACAAAAGGTAGTAACTGTGGGGGATGGACTGGTTGGAAGAGTAGAAGATTCCAGTATTAGCTGAGGGCAGGATAGGCTTCCCTGAAGAGATAGGTTTTCAGAGATCGCCTAAAAGTGAGAAGAGTAGGTGATAGTCTGATAAATTGGGGTAGAGACTTCCAGAGGATGGGGGAAGCTCTGGAGAAGATAATCATTAGATAATGACAGCTTACCGTTTCCTGTCAACCACAAATTCCTCAAAATCATCAAAGACAATATTACTCAGTCTCCACCACAAGCTCCTTGGCTCAGGAAGATGGCAAAAAGAAACATTCTATTTACGCGTTTCGAGAGGTATTCCCTCTTCATCAGAGCAACAAGTTTGATCCCCGAGAGCAGAACTTTATATATCAACAATGAATGTCTTTGATAATTTTGATGAATTTGTGGTTTACAGTTGTTTGTGAGCATACATCTATTATGCTAATAAACCAATACAATAAATGGTAATGCACTAGGCTGGTGCATCCTCTCTTTTTTTGCTTTTGTAGTACCATGATACCGGGGTATCCCCAGTTCTAAGACAGGCAGCAAAGAGTGGCGTTATACAGCCTCCATTCCTGTGTAGTGAATTTTTAAACTGCCGGACTGGTATTCAGGCTGGAGAGGGCAGAAGTTGGGGAGCATATAAAGTGTAAGCAGCAGGGACTGGAGAAGTGGAGAGATTGTTATGAGTTAGTTGAAGGTGAACTAACCCTTTAAATTGAGGATTTATTAACACTTTAAGGATATGAATAGAAAGTTATTCCTCTCGCTTATTCTCCTTCGCTTTTGACAGTGTTTGTAAAATAGCAATAATATAAATAATATCAAGTGATTAGGTTACCATATTCATCTGCAACATGAAAATGAAATTCTTTTTTGTCGCCGCTCCTTAAACTGAAAGTGAACTCGAAGCGGCTACTTTTTATACACACGCTGGATTAACCCGGTGATGAGCTATCTGTACATATAAAGATATGTTTTGTATCACAATACATTGTGGCATAGCTTAGAATACTTCTTGTAATGTGCGGCATTTGTAGTGGGGGGTATGTCATGCCTATGGCATCTGCCTTGGCACATATCACGGCTTGTAATGAAAGTAAATCTCTTTGGATAGTGAATGTAAAGTGCATCTCCAGAGCTGTAAATAGAGGATATTATCTAATTGCGGAGATTGGCTAGTTCAATGAATCTGTTGGAGCAGATTTCAACAGAGCGGATTTCAACAGAGCAAGGTTGCTTTCAAACACAATCTTACTTTAGACGGCGGGCTCGTCTTCCGTGCTGTACATAGGGTAAACTTCTTTCATTTTTCCACTCAGCGTTTGGACATGTTCTTTAGAATGGAGGCCATAAAGTTTATTTTAGGCAGGCTGACTCATTATACTTTTAAACAGTTTTGACAGGTCCAATATATGGACATTGTAATTGTATGTCAGGGAGGGGTGGAGTCAGATGTAGAGAAAATTAACACTTCAAGCAATAGAAATGATCGCAGACAGGAAACAACATGCATTACAGCCAGGCATTAAAGCTTGCTGTTGGTCCCATAGGACCCCGCTCAGCTATCATAATTATCAGATGTACAAAATTATGACATCATTATGCTCCCTGCATAACAGCATGTGTCTCTTAATGCTACACTTACTGCTCCTGAGTATAGGGAGGCTATTAATGACATTTTCTAAAAAGTATTGTATCTTATTTTTTATAATACAAATAATTGGAATATGCAGCGCCATAAATAGGTGATGTAATGTTAAACACGAAATCTCAGCATAATCGCTGGAACATAATA